TCACAGTCTGACTAAGAATCTATTCTTTGGCTCCTCACCTAAAAAGGGGGTCTTATATGATGGTACACACCTGGTATCCCACCACTCAAAAGTCTAAGACAAGAGGACCTTCCTACTCTTGAGATCAACGTAAGTCACTAACACGTTTGGAAAGCATTTTAGTTGATCCACAGATCCATGTAGTGTAAAATCAAGCTTACCTTAAATAAAATTGAGTAAGCAGTTGTTGGGCTAATCTGGACAAAAATCAATATTCTTCAAAGAAAGGTACCAGAACCTTGTGTCTCCACAATGATTTCCTCACAGTGATTTGCATATAAAAAACCTCAAAATAACTCTCTAATCTCTATGAGAAGAGCAATAATAATGTGTTAAATGAATTAAGGAAATGCATTCAGATAATTAAAGGAAAAAAAGTCTTCCTGAATAAAGAGATACGATACGATAACAGAGTATGGAATTGATTATAACAAGAAAGCAAATGGAAATTTAAGAATGAAAAAATTATAACTAAAAATTCAAATTCAGTTTGGGCTTAACATAAAATTGTAAATCATGCAGAAGACATTCTGTTCTTGAAGATCCAGTACCATCTAGTATGAAGAGCAGACAGAAAGAATCAAAGGGGGGATTTCTAATCTGAAGAACAGAAAAATACAAATTACAGAAAGGTGAACAGAGCCTCAGGTCCTGTGGGACAATCAATATCCAATGGTCCAATGAACATGTGATTGTTTCTTAAAGCTAAAGAGATTGACTGGGGAGATGGCTTAGCATTTGCCACCCAAATGCGTGACCAGAGTTAACCTGCATAAATGTACTGTAGGTGTGGAGTCCCACCTAGAGTTTTAGCCAGGGAAGGTAGAGATGAGCCCCAGGGCAAGCTGACAAACAAGACTAGCAGCATTTGGAATCTCGGGCTATGATTGAGAGGCCCTGTCTCAGTGAATAAGGTGACAGAGCATAAAAAATTATTCTATCTGATAACAAATATTTAAGGATATTCTTCAGGTCAAATGAGAAGTGATATAAGAAATTTAAATCCATAGTCAGGAATGGAATAAATACAAAACTCTCCGTTTCAAAGAAAAGTAATAGGGATGAAGAGGTAGACTGCTTGCTCTTGATTTAATCACCAATAATACAACAACAATAATAATAATAATAATAAAATAGAAAACACCCAATAGAGGATATAATGTTAAGACACATTTTATTAATACAAATAAGGACAGGAAAAGAGAGAAAGTTTTAAAGGATAAGTAACAAAATGATCAACCACAATAGCAGTTTCATTTACAGTAGTTTCAAATTAGGAACAGCCCACCCTCATCATCAGGTGAATTAATTAATGAACTGGGGAATGTTTATACTATGTAAAATTCTCTACATACTCAAAAACCATAGGGGAGTCTCAAAACCATCTGAATGTAAAGAACCCAGAGGGAAAAATGGTGTCTTCCATAGTTCCATTGGCAGGAAATTCCAAACTAGAGCTTAGAATTTAGAACAAGAGATAAAATCAGCAACCTGGGCGGTGATGGAATGTGCCGATGGAGGGTCTGGGGATGGCTGCCTGTAGGCGTGAGCTTCCGAGAGAGTAGCAGTGTTACTTATTTTGTTTGGGACAATAGTTTCACAGGCATGCACATTTATCAGAATAATCACATGTATATCCGTAAGGTGAAGCACCTTGCAGCCGTATCTGGGGAATCCCTCCTCTTCTTGCCAAGCAGCTTATCCCACCCAACTGCTGGGATGTCATTCTGGTATCATGCAATCATTTGATGCTGCTTTCAGCCTTTTTTCTTTTTTTAAATTTTGTGTTTTAATGGTCATCAATTTTCCTCTTTCATTCAGAAGTAAAGTTCTGGGAACAAATACCAGTAAAGCTGTCCTTCACTTTTTATTTTTCCAAAGCAAAATTCCATGTGTTGGAGCCATCTGGTATACTTTCTCACAAAGGAAATACTTGGAGAGGTTATGAGAGTCAAGAACCCTGCCCCCAACACAACTTTTATCTAAGTAATGTAGAGAATAAGGGAATTTATGAGTATTTAAAATATGATAATATCATTTCAAAGAATTGGTCTTAGTATTTTGTTATCACTTATTTCTATTATTTGGCCATTCTTCAGCAAACATTAACAATTCCTAGGAAATTTGTAAACATTGTCTGCATTACATCATTTTCTCCTAATCATTTTGAGTTAAATATTTCATATTTGATTTGGATAAAAAACACAGTTCACCCAAATATAGATAATAATGTCTGGGAATCAAGTATTAATGTATTTTCCCATAATTCATTTACTTCATAGATTTTGTTGCTTATTTTTAAAGTTGACACACACATATTCACACACATACACACGAATACACACATAGCTGAGAAATATTTATGCAATTACCTATTGTAACAATTTTGGTACTTGGAATTGTTTTAGCATTAAACTTACATATATTTTCTGAAAAATAAAATCTACCTTTAAATATTCACAAGAGGCTAGATTCAGATCAGTACTAAATGCTAGTACAGAATGCTAAAACAAGAGCCTGTGAAAAATCACCACAATCAGTTTAAGAATAAAAGGAATCCCCAAGAAAGCATGGGCCAGGGAGTGCAGGGAAAAGAAGGCATTCTGCAGAAAACATGTTTGAAACTCATCACATTTAATCTTTGCTCAGAAACTATAAAAATATTCACAAGAACAGACATCATATTGGAGGAAGCTATCATACTTGGAAGGGTAAAGAAGAGTCCCATTTCTGCTTTTATGAAATGAATTCTGAACACAAAATCCTCTGGATTTTTCCAAGTCCACCGCCATTTCTAGGTCCTTTGTTGTTTATGTTCTAAATTCCTATGTTCTAACCCACCGTCAATATCCCTGTAACATGGGATGTAGTGTATAGTCAAATTGTGATGGATTTCAGTCCTTTGGAGGACTGAAATATACCATCCTTTGGCTGTTTCCCTACAGCCAAGGACAGTGGTGACACATACTCCATCTTCCTCAAAGAGGTGGAGAAGGTACCAGTCGAGTGTGGCCGTTCCTCTGACAAGCTGCCACCCAACTTCATAGCACCAAGTAAGTTTATTTGCCAACTTTTCCTGTTAAGACTGTAAGATTTTTCTTTTTAGGGATGTGTTAAACTCTGGACTTAAATGTCCTATATAGACTTTTCTTAATGATTTAGTAAGCAGCCTATGGCAGTATTGAATCAGGGCTGGCATCTTTAGGATGGAGCCTCATGGAAGGAAATTAGGCGATTGGGAACAAACTCATGAAGGAAATATAAAGACTCTGATCTCTCTCTCTCTCTCTCTCTCTCTCTCTCTCTCTCTCTCTCTCTCTCCCTCTCTCTTTGTGTGTGTGTGTGTGTGTGTGTGTGTGTGTGTGGTCTGTCTTTTACCCTCACTTACTCACCTTCCCCTTCATGACCACTGTGAAGTGAATATATTCTGTGCTTTCTTCCATGGCATGTTGTCTAGCCATAGGTACAATAGAAACCATGGGGTGATACCTCCAAAATTGTGAGCCAAGACAAATAAACATTTCTTTTTCCTTTGAGTTGATTACCTCAGGTATCTTGCTACAACAACAGACACTGGATTAATGTAATCTTGAGTGGATTTTTAACCATTCCTTAATTCTTCCTTAATATCTTGTACACCCTAAGAGTCTAAAGAAATATTTGTTGACTTTAAGTGTGCATGTGTGAAGTAGGCCAGGGTGGTAGATTTCAGACCTCTGAAATATTGATTCAATATTGTTCAGAAATATTGAAGAAATAGCTAGTATTTCAGTTTCCTCATCTCTCTCTCCACCCCCCCACCCCCCCCCCCACACACGTGCACGCACATGTGGACACACATAAAGAGAGAGAGAGGGGGAGAGAACTAGGTTCTCCAACCCTAAAATTATGTGAGTTGCTAATTATAAAGTAAAGATATCTAAGCGTATGCACTAACAAATAACTTATCACTTGGCCCTGAAGTGTTAACCAGATGAGCTAATGAGTTACTCGGTTTCAGCTCTCATCAGTTGACTTTCTCTTCTAAATTCCTCATTACCTGGAACTTATGGACTTCCCAGGTCAGAATATTTTAGAAATAGCTTTATATTATAAATAGACTCTTAGAAAAACACTGGAGACACTTAGCCCTACAGGATGGAGTAAGAAGGTGGTCACATCAAAGGTTTGATTTAATTGGAGAACCTGTTCATGTTGGGGTTTTTTTGGTTGTTTGGTTGGTTTTTCCTAAGCATCCTTGATCTTGCTCCATCGCCTGCCTAGGAGTGATGACACTGCTTGCTGAAGAATTTCTGTAAACGTATGCAGCTAGAATCTCTGCATTCCCTGCATACACGTGCACTGTGCCCATGCCGTTCTACTTATGAACATAAACATATTTAATCCTCACAGCAAAGCAGAGCTAAGACATCCAAACTAATGCACCAACAAATATTGAGGCAAGATTAAATCCTCATTATTAGACCCAGAAAGAAGGATAGTAGTTTTTATACACATTTATTTTCTTAGCCCCAGCATGAGTCACATAATGGTGTGAGAAATGAATAATTCAGCTGTTAAGATAATAAAGACTTGGTGCCTTAATTTCCAAATAGTCTTGCCTATGTGTACACTAATTCCCAGACTATTCATATTTGTTGAGAAAGCCAGTTACCATTCCTTGGAGACCAGTGTTGATGTTACATTAGCTGTTGATCTGAATTTCATCCAGGTCTGGTGGGTCTTGGGAGCTGGCCCTGTCTGAGGGAATACAGCTGTGCTGTCTGCATCATGAGGCAGGTGGGATTCAGGACAAGTTACAGAATGAAAATGGGCTCAGAGGCAAATGTTGCTCTCTTCTTCTAGCCAGAAGATGGACTGTTATGTTAGCCAGATCATTCTTCAGAAAGAGTTTATCTCAGAAACTTCCCATTTCCCTAGAATTCTCTAACCTTTCTGTACAGAAGACAAGAATAATCTGGTTTCTGTTCTCATTCACTTTTCTTTATTCGTTATCACCATATTCACATTAAACCATAAAAAATAAAACTGAAGCACACAGACTCTTCCTTGCACACAGGGGTCGTTATCCTCCAATGTGCTGGTACGTCCTCTTCCTCGTCTTGCCAGGACCAGAATGGTTTGGTCTTTACGTCTGAGTCTTTCAACTAGCATTATTTATAAAAAAAATTATAGATGTTATTCTAGATTTTATTCCCAAAATATGCTCAGCAAATTATGAGTGGAATACGCCTAGCTTTTGACTTGGAAAAGTCACAAAGGTCCATGTATTTCCCTTTAATGACTTCAGCCAGCTTCAGAAACCTCGAGTATCAAGCAACTAAAGAACTCTTGCCGGGCGTTGGTGGCGCATGCCTTTAATCCCAGCACTCGAGAGGCAGAGGCAGGCGGATCTCTGTGAGTTCGAGGCCAGCCTGGTCTACAAAGTGAGTTCCAGGACAGCCTCCAAAGCTACAGAGAAACCCTGTCTCTAAAAACCAAAAAAAAAACAAAAAACAAAAAACAAAAAAACAAACAAAAAAAGAACTCTCATGGTGTGGGCTTTTTACCTTGCTTTCAGATGAGACACTACCATTTTGTAGTCTTTAAAAAACATTCCGTTACCTGGAGAATAAATCCTCCCAGTGAATGAATGCCTACTGGGACCAGATGTGGTTTTTCCCTCTCTAATATCATCTCCAGGGCCTAGGATTGATCAAACATAGGGACCCCCCCACCACCACCATCACCACAATTTTTGAGTAACTCTAACTTTTAATATGTTTTATTGTATTGAGCTGGAATTATGGCCCTGCAGATATCACTGCATTAGTATTCTTTCGTGTGTGTGTGTGTGTGTGTGTGTGTGTGTGTGTGTGAGTGAGTGTGTGTGTGTGAGCTTGTCTTCATTCTCCAGAGCTATTCCTCAAAAGTCAATATACTTTGCTAATTTCATACAACTTGTTGGGACAACTACAGTTTCAAGGTCATTTGACCCAGTGAAGAGTTTGCCTTAAACCGAAGAGTCTCATCAATATAACGAAGCACCAGCTAGGTATCTGCATCTGGCTGTCTCGTAGACACACCTCACATCCAGATCACCTGGTGCCTGCTTTACTTTTCCCCATGGTCCTGAATCCAGAGAATGATGTAAGCACTTACCCAATTTCTGAAGATGGAAACTGGGACAATGTCCTGGATTTCTTTCATTAATCATCTGGTACTTTATACACTCCCCTTTTCAAAATCTCGTGCATAGCACATCCTTTTTAACTTCACTGCCAGGGGCCTTCATTGTTTCCTGACTGACAATGACAAAAGATCAAAGGAAGTTTGGGTGAAGTCTCCCTCTAATTCACTTTACTAACTTTTCTACCATAAACACTTACCCTTTAAACCTCCTTTTCTCTATTCTTAATGTCACCACACATCATTTAATCTCGTGAGAGGATTATTTTAGCGTGTTTGATGGCACTCAAGATCCTTTACACAATTTCCTTCAGGTAGCAATATATATAAAGAACTCTTATAATCCGACAACAAAAATCCCATCTTTACAGATTTCCTACATTATCCAAAATGTTGATGTTAACAAAGAGAATGAAACATTTTCTTTCATCGGCCATATCATTTTCATTTGTCAATATAACCTACGCTACTAAAACAGCGTCTCCCATCCCAGGAAGAGCCTTCTGAACTTGGCTGGTACCTGGTGAAGTGGTTGAGACAGCCGCACACTCCAGGATTCACAGAAATTCTTGCGTCCCGTGTCTACTAGCTGTGTGAGCACATCCTCATTTACGAGCATAGAAACACAGGTCTTGATTAGTGGCAAGTCAGCAACACAAAAAACCAGTAATCATTGCCATTTGTGGGGGTTTGGAGGCAGATGCATCTGGTTTTCAGCTGATAGGTTAAGCAGTTGAAAAGTTTGTTTTGTTTTGGTTCCAAATGGAAACAAGGATGTTTCTGGTCATCCTGGGCTGGGCTGGAACAGTTAGAGAAGAGACTTTTTCCTATAGGAGCAACGTTTGCTCCCTGCCTTAAGTGTAAACTTGACAAGATTTATAAATAAGGTAAGAATCACAAGAGAAGGAAGAAAGGGTGGGGTTTTATTTGATGCATGAGGCTTATAGATATTACATGATGGTGGGAGGGGAAGTACTTATGTACTTGATCATAAATGGATTCAACATCCTAATCATAATAATATTGCTGAGGAATGCTAAATTGTAAAGTAAAATGTCATCAGCCAACAAACATGAAGCTAATCACTTAATAGTTAAAGCAATTATAATGCTGCTACTGTTGTTTTTATCATCAGAAAGATATGTGTTACCAACACTACCATGCATTAGCTTTGAGTCTAGAACTGTAGTTTTAAATCTGCATCACTATTTGTAAAATGATCAGTACTTCGAGTGAAAGGATCCAAGCATGGTTGGGGGATGGTAACACTTATTATGTATGTGCCACATGTCCGAGACACTGTGGCATCCTGCAGCGTGGAGCACTTCCCTTTAAGCTTCATGGTGCCCCTCTGCATACGATAGTATCACGTTTACCTCTCAAATATGGAGACTGAAGGTGAAGGAGAATCAGGAAGACACTGTGGTTGCATGGCCAAACCTTCGTTCTGATTCCACACTGGGATGTCTACTATCTCATATGTTAAGTGTACTTGGGGTTTTCTGCTTAGACTCTATGTTTGCCTACAGAAATACAGGTTATACAAGAAACCAACGATTCTCTCATCCACAATGGAAGCGGGGGAAATTTTACATTTCTATGGATTTCCCCATGTTTTCTTAAAACAAATGTAAGGAGAGGGGCCAACAGAAGCTTTTAAAAGTATGGAATAGCAAAGATAGTATGCACATAGTATTAAAATCATCACCCATTCTTTGCATAACGTGATGCCTTTTAAAAGAAACATTCACATGCCACCGATACTCACTCGCAATATTCAAGTGCTGCCTGATTTTATAGAGTGGAAGCAGTTCTTTGTGTAATCTGATACATGAGCTCACACTCCTTCCTCCCACATGCCTTCTTGAGAGATGCTGATTGAGGAATTTCATCCTAGCTACCGTTGTCCAGTGATGTTTCTCTTGTATTTTATTCAAACCAAAGTCTAAACCAAATACTTTTAAGAGGAACATCCATCTGTTCTAGAATTATTCTGGTTACTTTTGAACCATGCTCTAATTTTTTCCATTTCTTGTATTTCCTAAATTTTTTCTGTCCACACTCAGTATTTCTTTAAGCAAAGTAATGTTCCACACTTTAGGACTGGAACTAATGGATTTCTAATTACTTTCACATGAAATGTGTCCAATAATGTATTGTCATAGTCTTTGGCTAGGAGATGACAACATGGCCACTGTATAGCAGTTATGAGGGTGAGAAAAATGTAAAATACAGAAAAGTGACCGGCAGTTGCAGAGAGCAGGTAGCCATTCAAAGTTCCAGAGTTGGAGGTGATTTACATAGCAAGGTATTCTTGTGTTTCTTTTCAATTTAGCTGATCTTGGCACTTACTATTATATTAGTAATTAACTCCACACATTAAATGGAGAAAGTGTTAGAGTCTTGAATTATAACTAAAGTTTCTGAGAGAAGTTGTCTGTACATTATCCGACTCATGGTTTTCAGTCCATTTATTTCCTGCATTACGGTATGGAGGGACCACTGAGATGTCTCGGTAGGGAAGAGTGCCTGCTGTCAAGTCTGATTATCTGAATTTGATCTCCAAATCCCACTTGGTGAAAGGAGAGTACCAACTGAATCCTACAAGTTGTTTTCTGACCTCTGAACAGTCATTGTGCCATACACACACACACACACACACACACACACACACACACACACATTTATGAATTGTCCTGGGATGGTTTGAAAGAGAACAGACCCCATGGCTCAAATGTTTGAATGACTGGTTGCTAGTCAGTTTGAGAAGGATTAGGAGGTGTGGCCTTATTGGAGGAGGTGTGCCACTGGAGGTGGACTTTGATGAAGGCAACTTGCAGATCAGATGGGGTCTCTCAGTTACTTCTTTAGCAACGAGTCTGCCTGCTGCAGCCATGTTCCTCACAATGATGGTTATGACTAACCCTCTCACTGTAAACAAGCCCCCAATTAAATACTTTCCTTGTAAGTTGCCTTGGTGATGGCATCTCCTTCTCACAGCAACAGAACAGTGACTAAGATAGGTTCACAAGTGGGAAAAATAATCCCTCCCTTTTCTAACATGAACTTTTGCTATATATCCCACACTGACCTCAAATTCAAAGCAGGCCTCCTGCTTCATCCTCTTAAGTGATGGACTACAGGCATGAGGGACCAAGCACAACTTACAGGAAAAGACTCTCGATTTAATACTCTGTTCTCAAACAATTAAAGGACAATAACAATGGAAACACCTATAAGTAGTTTCCATTGTTATTGTAGCTTTAGACAAGGAAGGGAATGTCCTATGTTACAGTAAGTGGTCTTAAGTTTTAAAAAATGAATGTCAGGAGAAATATCTTTAGAAGGTGCAATTCAAAGGGCAGATTAAGAAATTTCATCTTGAAATTGTTGCCTATCCGAGACTTTTGAGAACTTTAAATGCATGGAAATATGACTGCACTGAAAATCATTTTAGTGTAAGAAGTCAAATTTAGCCATCTGAGTTCCTCGTCCCTGTTGCAGAGAAACCCAGTGGAGGCGAGCATGGTCACACAGAGTCCTGTTAATTCTCAGACTCTGCATTTTCAGGTCTGTAGGAAAGAGCTGTAGCAGACAGAGGGGGCTGACCCAGAGAGGTCAGAGATGGGCATGCCCTTTCTAAGCAGAGACCAAGAAGAGCATTTGAGAAGCAACCATGGATGGAGTGGCCAGAGAAATGCAGAGTCCCGGCAAGTGCACACAAAGAATCTGTTTTCAGAGGAGAAAACTCTATTCCGTTCTTTCTTTAGAGCCTTCAAGTAAATACGAACACTTTGTACACTGGATGCCAAATTGTGTTGCCTTGGCACACTCTTGTGTCATTTTCCTGTGACTTAGGGTTAGGGTTGGTGGTAGGAGTGAGGGAACAGAGGCTTCAAAAGCATTACTAGTGATCGTACTTTAGTATTATTCTTTAATAAAGATTTATTTTATTTTAACTATGCATATTGGAGTGTGTCTTTGTCAGGGTCTGTGCACATGAGTTCATGTACACATAGAGGCTGAAATGGGCATGAGATTCCCTGGAGATGAAGTTACAGGAAGTTGTGAGCCGACTTATGTGGATGCTGGGAACCAAATTCAGGTCTCTGGAATAATATATAATATAATATAATTTATATTATAATCTTCAGCAATCGTTTATAATTTTTAACATTGAATGAACATCTAGTGTGTTCCTGTGGTTCTAAGAGCCCCAACTGCCTGTTAGTATTCCTTTAATCTACTGTTTGAAGATTCTTTGGTTTGTTCACACCTACAGCAGTGTTGCGTTCTAACTTTTATTCCACAAACTTCTGGGACAGAATTGTGTCCTGTGAGGAATGAGAGAATTTCCAGAGGACATTCGGGGAAAGCAAACCCCGGTGGACACCCCTGGAACACCTAAGGTGACGAAAATAACATTCCATAAGGGAGTAAGGTGGAAACTCACCGATGGAAGAGTTCGCCCTAGTGCTGCAGCGTCTGCTATCACAAGCGGGTTGTTTGCAGCAGTTAATTTTTAATGCGAGAGAGAATCAAGGGGGAAATCCTGCATATTTCAAAGGGAAACTCCCAGGCACCAGTTTTAATTTAACTTTATATGTACACTTGAGAGCAATGAGCTTTTTGGTAACACTGTAGCTTTTGGAATTCATTCAGAAGGGGCTTAAAATGGAAACACTGACACTGTGCACTTCAGAGGGACAAGTGGGACAAGTGGTGCCCTCGGAGCCCTCAACCATACAGGCGTGATGCTCGCCGGGACAAGCGTCTTCACAGCCAGACTCCTCCATGTCTCTCTGCATGCACGAGTGTGTGCACACACAGATGCTCACATACACAGACATGCATACAGACACACACGTGCACACAGAAGCACATTCACTCACACGCATGCACTCTCACATGCACAAAAGCAACCCATGAACTTGACACTCTCACATGCACAAAAGCAACCCATGAACTTGACACTCTCACATGCACAAAAGCAACCCATGAACTTGAAGGAAATGCTAGCACAAAGCATCTGTGTGGCTAATGGGACTATCTTACATGTTTGCCCTAACTACATTGTGTTTGATGTCTGCGTTTAAATCATTAAGGGCCCCAGATCTGACCTAGAAACTGATTAAGGGCCCAGTAAGATTCCTCAGTGTATGAAGATGTTTTTGCCCCATCTCTTCTCTTGCTAGACCTCCAACCAGGAAAATCCACAAAAGGAAATTATTCTGCTAACTGTTTAGATGCTGTTTAGACTCAACACCTTTGAGAATACAGGCTCTAACAAAGGGGGAAATCCTAACCTAAACACTCGGGGAGGAAGGAATGGAAGAAGGGATGAATGAAGTTTGAGAAACAAAAGATTGGAAATCCACGCTGTATTAGAATTCAAAAAATCTCCTTGACTATTAAAGCTACGGATTTTCATCTGCTTCCCTCTCAAGGAAGGCTCATGAGGTCCTATTGTCTGTAATCTGTCACATATAAATAGGTTTTATACGACAATTGCATGTAGCCTTCTTCCCAGAGAGAACATCAGGTTGGTCTTATGAATCCTCTAGTTACCTCTTCAAAGCCTCTGGCTAAAATTCATGCCTGTCATTGGTCCAGGACTTCACCTGGCGCTTC